CTCTTATACCACCGAATCAATATACTTGAAGGTAGTTTAACGTGTATCCAAGAGGCTTAATTTTGCCTTAAACTTGATCCCCTTTATAATCGGTATTGATTAACCCGACAGTCTGATATCTGACCTTCTCCAGATTTTTCAGAAAACATAGGTCTCATCATAAGATAATATTTATAATATATATCCTACCTATAGTTCTAATAATTATGGTGGCATTCCACTCTCTTATATAATTGAAAATTGAAAATATTTGTAGTTCAAAGTTCTAAGGTACGTTGCTTTTACTTATTTTGTAATTTGTTTTCTAATCGTTGATTTATTTGTCTTTAAGGATGTTCCCTGGTCAGATAGGAAAATATTCAATAGTATTTAACTTTTTCTCAAAAATGGTTTTCTGGGATTCTCACGGGCAACAAAGAATATTAAAACTTTAAAAACCATATGTTAGTGTGCTTTTTTCTGAGCAAGAGGCCTCTAAAGTGTCAATATTTGACAAAAGTGGGCGTGGCACTTTCTCATTGAAACCCATGTTAAAAATCAGGTTTTCACCCCAAAACACACTTTTGAATATTTAACTTTTTCTTAAACTCACAGAAACACTTAGTTATGCTATGTACTTCACATTTTTAAAAGAAAAATTAGGGGTTGGTGTTCATCGTTTTCAACTTCGTCCAGGGAACATCCTTAAGCGATGGTGTACACGTCGGAGTGTTTATCCCATGGGGTGTAATTATCTTCAATAATTTCTTTTATTCACTACGAATGTATCCCTCTTTTATGAGTACCACATTCTTTCTCAGTTCATTCCATTTCAAACTCGTTTGACCATTTAAAATAAGCATGCACCTCTTTGTGGAATAATGAAATAATCAAAAATAATAAACTTGCTAGTTACTCTATTACGATGAAAAGAGCGTTCTTTATCCAAAGTCCAGAAAGCTAAAAGTTGTTATCCTCTCAAAGGTCAAATATTCATATATACCCTTGAAATGGATCGAGAAAATGAGGCAAGGAGACACAGCAATAGCAAGTCGGAGTTAATATGTAAGCTATTTGAAAGGAGTTGGTACTACAGAATCGTATTTTATGTAAACATAAATCAATTTGATAGTGCTGTAAATGACAGAATTATGATGAAGAAGTATAATAAACAATAAATATAATTGAGACAACTTAATGGACAAAGGATACGATGGATAAATATAAAACTGACGCAACAAAATCAATCGCTGAAATTTCGATTGTCTAACTGGCCAGAAATAGACAATCTCGAGCGAAATAACCACATACAGGTACCTTCAAACAAGTTAGAATCAACAGTAGCCTCATACGATTAAACTGAAGTCAACAGTTATCATGACTTCAAACAAAACGTTTAAGTAAAATGGATAACCAGTCAAAACAAAAGGAGAGTTCATTTATTAGGTTTAACTTGGCTTAAATAGAAAAACAAGGATGGTATAAAAACGGAGGGAATACAATAAAGTGTAGAATAGGCTTAAATTAAAGTGTGAGTCTCTGTTGAGTTGAGAACGGTAGTTAACCCAAATAAATAATAGATCTAAATGGGCAAAGGCTGTAATGAATTGACTTGCTGAAATTGTTGGTGAAAATGAATATCTTCAAAAGTCAACATATCCCCAAGGATTTCGTTTCTTAGTTGCATTTCAGACAAAACATTTGTCATGTTGCATTATTTAGGTGTTTCAACTTTTATAATGGAATTGTTGACGTTGTTAGAGGTGGAGAAAAATTCAACGAATTCCGATTCTCCTGAGTGGTCCATATTTTTCTTTGCAACTTAATGTAAACTAAACAGGAGTTTGGTGGTTCTGACAAGTGTCTGCTTGCCATGATTTATAAGGTACCCCGATTGCTTTCATTACAGGTGTCAAAATAACGGTGCTTGCTTCTAAGGTTTGCTTGCTTTCACACCTTGTTTAACGGTTGTTTCAGTAATATTTGTTAAACATTTTCTTCCCTTGCACGTTTTTATCTTATGTTAGAAGTGGTATTGCTCCTTTCGTTTATTTTAATACCATGTGTTTAATAAGCTGATACAAATAATTCTCGTTATACTATACTGATGTCTTAATCATAGACATACAGCAGAAACCAGAATCTTATATAAGCGTACACTTTCTACACGTGTTTTCGTGTCACGTGTACCTTGCGCTACCCAGACTATGACTGTAACCATGGGCGTTGGGGTAGGCGAGGAAACAGACTCACCACGCTTTCGGAGAAATGTTAACTTATATTGACCTCGGGGATAATCCCAATCTGAACCTACATTAGGATGATCTGTTTATCCCATATCAATCTTGTCCAAAAAAATCAACCGTATGAATTCTGTTAGAAAATTCATGTCCAGTTTTGTTAATAAAACATTTGATCTGGCCATTTTGAACAGAACTGTGACAACGGTCGGGTTATTCTTCTCCATCCTATTTGCATACTTGTTTCTAGACCAAGGATGTCAATGCAACCTTACCACGTCAAAAATATTTAATTGGAATAGTCCTTTAATACAATAGATGATTTATTAACAATTCACGTTGCATTAACGATACTTATATATTTTTTATATTCGTATGCATATACAGTACAGGTGCTTCTCGACTAATAAAACAACGTCTATTTATACAAGTATTTTCAAATCGACTAGCAGTCAACTTGTCAATGGTGGTTTAAAGTATATAAGTCAAGTTCTCGTCGTATGCAGAGGATCTGGATAATATTTCTATATCTCGATGATAGTGGAGTGCGATGTTGACCGAGAAAAACGAGATGCAAGTCATCATATATTGGAAGGAAATAGCGCTAAAAAGAGAATAGATTATAATGTTTACTTTAATTACAATATTCAAAGGATTGTCAACAACATTTGTTCACCGATCATTTGGTCTCAATAAATGACTCCGGGGAAAGTTAGAATTAGATCATGTCATGTGTAAGTAGAACAGCATCTTGTAATCATCAAGTATTCAGGTGCTCTCCTATTGTGTTAAGCCTGACAATTTTATTTCTTAAGATTAACCACCAGGTCAATTGAACGTATAAAAGATCATACAAAATCTCTTCGGATGTATATTTCAAAAACAGTACATGGAATGAGGTCAAAACTAGGTCAACCCAAGGTGAATGTTAGCGTATGTTTCACTTCACCAAGGATTTTTCACATTGAGGGAATTTAGGCATCAGGAAGATAGCAGATGAGAATTATTTAGTATTACATTAGTATTACACACTTAGTTACTAACTTATAATGGTATTGTAATGAAAATATGTGACTTTTTTAAATGCCATCTCATATTTTCTCTTGAATAAATTTATGACCATGTGTCCGTGTTAGGAGATTCACTCTTGAATGCCAATAAACCTCCATTCTGTGTTAATGTTATTATAACGGTAGAACCTGTTGCACCTGGTGAACAAGTTGCAAAATGTTTAAGATATATCTGTATGATCTTCCTTGCCAAAGCCTTAAAATAAGTAAGAGATGTATATTTCGAAATGTACGACATTAATATTCAAATGTAAATTCCTCAAAATAAAAAATGTTGATAAACATTACTTCCTACTAACGGGTATTGGAACTTTGGGGACTTTTAAAAAACATCATGATAAAATTAGTCAAAATGATATTCAGTTTTGGAGTTTTCAATGAGATTATCTGGAATGCTCAATACTATCTCTAGCTGGTCTTTTATTCCAAATGAAACCTGAATTTTTCCATATATTTTGGTTAAAAAGTGCCAATGAGTGTACTATCCTTACTCTGTTTGTTTATTTCGTGGTATGAGGAAAGTAGTTCTATTAAAAACCTGTTTGGGGACTTCAATGGTCTACTACAGCACCATCTTTGGATAGAATGCTCTAATTTGCAGGCATATAATGCTCAGAATAATTGGGAAACATGTGAGCATAACAGTGAACGGTAAAATCTTTGGGATTATTTTCTGCGGATGGATGACCTTGGTAGTGGTGAATTGGTTAATGTATATAAATATGATGACGTTTTGGTAATCCAATTATGTAAGAGAGCAGAACTTTCGATTTTCGTGGGATATTTTTGTTGAAATTTTTTGGACATGAAGGTGAGATGTTTTGCTGTATTTCTCTGAAATTCTTTGAAATCGATGGGCTGCGATTTGAGAAATTCTAATTTGAACTTTGTCAATTTAATTATGTTCAAAACGACGAGGCCCTTGTTTATACTAAAAGACCTAAGCTTCTCAACGATAAGCCATAGCCGGTCCAGTAGCCGATCGAGGAGAGACATAAAGACATTATTTTAGAAGCGTCGCCTGCCTGTATATTGGCATGGTTGTACAGATAAACGGAGAAAGGGAATGAAAATAAAATACATTGAACTTGACTTGTTAGGAGATATTATGAAATGTCATGACGAATGAAAGTATATTGCTCATCATTTTACTATCGATCTTGAGACGGCTTCTTCTAAGAGCACTCTCAATATCAGCATTTAGGACTAGCCAAACTTGATTGGCGGCTACTTGGTACAAGAATGGATGTTATATCCCATCTTATCCTTCATTTAGCGTTCCTATTTACAGTTACTGCAGTAATATTCCAAAGTACGATTGAGGAATTTCAAGATTGTTACTGAACCCAGTTTACAGGAACTCAATTACTCTAATGGCAGAGTTGCACGCCCGCAGGGAAAGACAGCTTTGTGTTTCTTAAATAAAACAAAAATTGACTGTAGCCTATTTTACCAAATTGATTAGTCTAAATAAGGTCCAGGGAACTTCTGCTAGCAGACGTCAGGAAGTTGCCGACACGCAATTATTTACGAACTCTTTGTTTTAGTTTTATTGCTGTCTCTATAGATTTGCACAGTCCTTTCTATGCCTGCATTCTGACGACTCTAACTTAACTGAAAGTTTTTTTTGGAGTTGGAACAAAAAGGGCAGGTTCATCACATGGAGACGGTCTAGATCAATGCGTTTCTGATTTTGTATAACTACTTTCAGGTGATGCGTGTAGAAGCTGTTTAGGAAAATACTGCAATATAACTACTTCCAGCTTAACAGGGACACTACTGAGGTAAATTTCCATACATTGTTAAGGTCAGTCAAATAATAATTGATAGGAAAAATGAGTTCACAGAATATGCAGTCATTATAATCTAAAATCTAAGCAGATAGTTTATAATGGACATATATTGTGGATATAGTTACCGAGATCCGTGAGATTATATTACAGTAATCTAATTGATTTCTGAATTAGCGATATTGAACCTGCATCAAAGTTGAACAATACAGTACTATCACGAATAATAGTTCCCTTGTAGGCTATGTGCAAGTGTCGGACAGGGTTAGGTCTCCTGAAATACAACTTGATACAATTAGTTAGGTTGACAACTGTCAAAAGAAAACAATGATTGTCGTATTTCTCAAGAATAAAATTTAAAGAAACAGAGAAGCGTTGAGAGTAAAGAAATTGGAAAATGTGTCACAATTTTTTAATTATATAGTCAATTTTTATGTTATTACATGATAAATTTTCGAGTTTTAGGGACATCCTCTTTTTTTAACTTTTATGTAGATTTTTGTAGATTCTGACATTTTTGCATCTTGAATCTTCAATAATGGTTTGTTTTATGAGATATCTGAAATTCTTTTTAGAAAGTTAAACATGATTATAAGGAAAACACTGGATTTATTTTTGAAAAAAATTCTTCCCGAAAACGTTCTATTCTTTGTAATAGTTAGTGGTGAAATATATCTCTAAAGAGTTTGATACATTAATTTGTGATACTATTTTTTCAAAAGCTAGATCATTACGTATTCGAAGAACTTCTTCCCATTGGTGCAAACACAATCATTTAATCACAACTAAAATTGTTGAAACTAATGGTGCTACACCATATGTGGCTAAATTATCGTTTGCCGTGCCTCGGGGAACAGTTTTAGGCCCTATGCTCTTTATCATCTTTATTAAAAATGACATTTACTAATGTTCCAAAGTTGCTGATGTGATTGTGTAGACGGTTGAAGCACCAGTATGGTATTTTCTGGTATTGATCAAGTTCGACTACACAAAGCATAAGAGTTCCTTGGAAAGTGAATTGTTCCAATATACCTCAGGCTCTCAATCCTACAAAAACAAATTTAAGTATTCTCAAATCACCACAAAAAGTTATTTATTATATGTCATAATCCTGAGATATCAAGGTCAAAAGAAAACTCGTGTAAAGCCTATGTACAGGGTGGTCAAAAAAACTGGAAACCCTTACACCATGCATTTTCCTAACATCTTTATTATTTTAAGAAATAACTGCACATTTATACATCACTCAATTTCCTACCAGCCTACCATATTTCATGACCATCTGATTGATAGTCACAGTGCTACAGCACTTTAAAGAACATCCCCGGTGGCAACTATTGCGCTGAAGACCAACCTGCATATGTCGTCCAAAATGTCCCTACCTATGGGTATATGGCAGAGATAGAGTGTATAAGAATGACCTCAGGATATTAGCATACATCAAAAGTGAGTTCATCTGCATCATTCAGGCCATACCTGCTGAGGAATGCATTTGGATCATTGACAACTGTGCAGGTTTGCCTACAGCGCGATGATGGCCAAACCTGAAGCATGTTGTTCAAAGTGCTGTAAAATTGTGACTATCAATCTGATGGTCATGAAATATGGTAAGGTAGTAGGAAATTGAATGATTTACAAATGTGTGAAATATCAGGGAGTAATTTTTTAAAATGACAAAGATATGAGGAAAATGCAGGGTTTCCGTTTTTTGACCACCCTGTAGAATGATTTCAATATTAAAAAATGAAAATGAATAGAATGCGAAAACAATTTATTAATTCATTAGAATTCTGTATATAGCAATTGTAAACCCACGGATGGTATATCCCCCGCGGCATGTTCATGTTCTGTTAAGTGTACCTTTTTATCAACCTGTCAGTATATACAGGTGCAAACTATATACTTCTCATAATATAATTGGAAGTTATTCGAGGGTTACATATGATTTTTGTAGAAGATCTGACCGATCTTTGGATTTCCCAAAGAACAAAGATTTTTCAATTTGAAGTCTATAGATCTAATAAATGATTCGTCAGGTGAAATTATTAGGATGTTGAATTAGAAAGTAAAAATAGGGATGCATGCTACAATGCAATATCAGTAATTATTTATTCAACAACGCACTCGTTCAATCTGCTAGACTCGTTTCATTGATAATAGCTCATTTTATTATAATTCATAAATAATTTGTATATGATTGTGTTTTATTGCATGTGGACGGGTAAGCTCACTCCACAGAAAAAGAGGTGGGGCGATGATTCAGTACATGTGAACCAATACCTTATAGCTTGTTCTAGGACAAATCGTTTGGGAATTAAAGATACCAGACTGATTCAATAATATTATCCAGTCGCTATTTCTACATCATAAATAACATTGCCTTCCGTGTCCAGTTGGTTTGATGAGTTGTAATTGGCTTGTCAAGAAGCCAAGGCAACTTCCTACTGTTGCAAAGAACTACAACTTGTATCTAGACGGATTATCCCAAAACAAACTTACTTGGTAACATGGTATCTTTAATTGATACCTGAATCAGTCGTTTATAAACGGTTCAGCCTCATCTTCTTGGATCGTTTGAACTTCGTATTATCTCATCGAAACAAGACATTTTCTTATCATTCTTTAGTTAATTCTTACTAAAATTGATACTGACTCATAGGTACTTCTAGTTTAGTCTACCATGTATAGATCACCTAATCATGCTGTTGTTTTGTAAACGTGCCGTGAGTGGTAAAACTCGGGTCGATACACGGGGGATGCATTTTGATGTCCCAAAAGAGTGCAGATATGAATTAGATTTCCTAATAGCTGTTTTCATTTTCTTTTACGAGACAATGGCTTGTTAATGTGTTTAAGTGATGATATATAGAACTAATTACGACAAGAAATTGTCAGTTTATAGGCAACGTGTGCAACTTAACAAGGGAAGTCTGGTGAATTCACCACCTGAACTAAATTAGAAAGAACACGACGGTTTGATGCATTTCTCAGTGAATAATTTACAATCGCACCTTCATCATGTAACGGTAAATTAAGCTGCATGGTAATTTTTATGTATCAATAACAGAAATATAGTCAGGTTTATTCTAATTTTAACGTTTGTGTTCCTTCAGGAACGTATGAAAGACGACGGCGCTAGAGTGTAGATGAAGCATGAGTGTTACTGGGGCAGCTGAAAGAATACTCGTATCGCTGGGCAACACAAGCCACACCTACGATGGAGACTACGCTGGAATGTTTGGCTATGGATTCGACAATTCATCAGCAGCAGATGGGGATTACCCTAGCTCCGATTACTTGGATAGGACGGGTGCATTTAGAAACCTTAGCACAAATATTCCTTGTTTTATCAATGATACGGATTTTAATTACAGTGCGTGTATATTTAATGCATCACTCAATGATACCAATACCGAAAAACCTCCAAAGTTCCCATTGTGGCAGATTATCACCATATCCATATTAGTGGGATGTCTCAGCATTGTGACTGTGGTAGGAAATTTTATAGTGGTGCTCTCGTTCGTATTGGAAAGAACTATACGACAACCAACGAACTTCTTTATAGCCAGTTTAGCAGTATCTGACTTATTAATAGGAGGCTTTTCTATGCCACTATACACTATGTATCTCCTTATGGGAGACGTTTGGCCACTTGGACCTGTAATATGCGATCTTTGGCTATGTCTGGATTATTCCATTAGTCTTTCCTCACAATATACTGTTCTCGCCATCACCATCGACAGATTTTGTTCCGTAAAAATTCCAGCTAAATATCGTGGCTGGAGAACTGCATTTAAAGTGAAAGTAATGGTAGCCGCTGCGTGGGTCGTGCCAGCCGCTGTGTTTTACACAAGCATTCTTGGTTGGCAATATTTTGTGGGCGAACGCACGGTGCCCGAAGGTTCTTGCTATGTACAGTTTATGGAGAACGCGCTATTCAACGCTTGTCTAGTCATTGCCTACTTCTGGAGTACGTTAATAGTCATGTGTGTCCTGTACACCCAGATATACCGTGTTGCTTTGAAACTACAGAGGAAGTCTGAGGCAAAACATAAGAAAATGACATCGTTGGTATCGATGGCTGGACAAACAATGACGAAAATTGGGATCGGGATGAGCCAAAAGGCTCCAGATAAAAACAACCCTGTCAATGGCAAAGAACAGAATCGTTCCGCCAATAGAGGAACTTCCACCACTACAACCTTCACTTCATCCTCGACAAAAAATACAACAGACAAGGAAGATCACTCTAGTAGTCCTGGATTTGCCTCCGACACTGACCCATCGGATACTCAGTCTCCTTCCCCTAGAAATAGCTTCAAGAATTCTAACACGGTTAAAGCAGAGATAGTTAATAATAGCAAAAAGAAAAGATACTCAAGTCTTAAGGTGCCCAAATTACAATTGCCATCTACGCAGCCAAATGGACATAAAAGTACCATGAATCACTCTGGGGGAAGAAGCCATTCTTTGACTCCAGAAATATCTACAAGTGACATAGACACATCAGGCTATTCCCCCTCACCAAATCCGAATGACAGTTCAAACAATCCAAAAGTTTCATTTAAATTTCCATCAGTGAGTCCAAAAACTGGGCCTAGACTGTCAGTTCGGACTAATGACAGCGGCGTGGGTGATTTAGTGGAGGAGCCGCTCACGCCGCCACAAGTAAGCCAAGGCTTGAAATACATCGACACAACATCACTACAGGCTTCTGAGCACGCTAAACTTTTAGTTGATCAACCTTCAATAAAAGACGAAGGAAATGATTCTGACGACAATGGATCACCTGTCTGGAGACGCAGGATCTCAAGTGAACCCGATGGTGCATCTCCGCCACAAGTTGCAAGTGAAGGGGATAGTACAGCGTCGGCCCCTACAGAAACAGGTGCTCAGAAATTTAGGCAAAAAGTAAATATGTTGGTGCAAATGTCAAATAACAGTAGAGCTAACAGTGGAACAGTTACAAGCATTTCTGGTGCAAGTGACCTGCACCCTCTTGACGGTAATAGAAGTGATACTGGCTCCAAAGCACCTAGCATACGAGATCTCGTTATGTCAATGAACCCATCAAAAATTTTACAGAGACGAAAAGACACAGAAAAACAAAAACAGAAATCTAAATCTGAAAACCGAGCTCGCAAAGCCCTGCGTGTTATAACAATTATATTAGGTGCCTATGTTATATGTTGGACTCCGTATCATGTTCTTGTTTTGATCATTGGTTTCTGTGAAGGCAACGATTGTGTTGATCCTCGCCTCTATGCCTTCACTTATTGGCTTTGCTATCTCAACAGCCCTATCAATCCATTCTGTTACGCATTAGCTAATGCCCAATTTAAAAAGACGTTTATACGGATATTAAAAGGTGATTGGCATCGGTCCTAAATCGATATACAACTGCCATTTGGAATGCATGACATTGACATGTACATTTTTTATGTTTGAAACAGATAAATTATATGAACAAGTCTGTTGAGCCCATAAACTGACAAACTAATCATATCACGATCAAACATGTCTCTCCCAATATAATCTGTGCTGAACAATATTCACGAAGGGGGAAATGTTGCAATGCACGCTTATATTTGTATTCAGCTCTAACTATTGCACGATAACCCATTATTCAAGTAATAGTAACATTATAATTATATTGTGTAATACTCTAGTCATTGTATGATGTAATAAATATCAAGATTTTTAATAAACACTTGCAAATATGACGTAGGTGAAAGCAGTACCAGAAAATACTCGTAATTAAATGCTTCAGTAAAGTATTGAGGTTGTATTTTATACTATTGTGTAACGTGAGCCACATGCCAATGGACAACAACAAATACTATGGGCTAATTCAAGAGGTTTATCTTAAAAAAGTATTTACCAAGATGATGAGACTTAGTTACTTGAGCAAAATACAGTTTCCAAGATGGTAATTTGTCCTCGGGATATGATACACCGTTTGAAAGGTGAAAATGTTCTAAAATGTTCGAGCTGATCAGTAACTTTAAGTTGACACAACGTTGATAAGTACTATAATCAGTTCATTACTTTCTGCGTTCTCTTTAACTCATTTTTATAAGCAATAATGCATTTGTCCATTTGATTCCCAAAATGGTACGTGGTCAATTGATTGAATTTAACACCATGATAAAATGGCATAGCCTTTATAATTTGATTTTGCTTCTTTCAAAGAAGGCTTCGTCTACATAGGCTCTTATCAGGTTAAACTTGGCGGCGTCATATATTTACGTCATTGTCACTTTCCGATGGTATATTCATACCTGAGGGCAAATAGCATCCTTCTCTACCCTAGTTTGCTCAAATAATTAGTGTTATTTAAAAAATTCTCAGATAATGTATGTATCATGAAACCAAGATACTATCCATGTGCATAATTGTCGCCTGAAACAGTGTAATGTAAATTTGATGCATCACAAGGCAAATGTTCCATTATTAATGCATAGTAATTGTTTGTGCTAATATTGTGCTGTTATAGATAATAAACACACAGTTATTAGAATACTTATTCTATTTCACCAATTGACTTTTTTATTAATGCTAGTAAAGTAATTATTTTGATTAGTTCTTTCAAATTAATGAACTACAGCCCCAAAACAAAGGTTAATAGATTATATTGTTATGTAACCAAATTACAGTTAGGATCCTGAAATATGCTACGACAGGTACAAGGAGGATTGACTCCCAGGATCGAAACTCGATATTTTCAAACAATGAAAACGTCGAAATGACGTTATTTTTCTAAAATTATATCCGACTATTAATTCAAAATAAACATTAGAACCAATTTCTCGATCATTTCGTGTGTGTTTTGGAATTTCTCGTTTGGAAATAAGACAAAAATGCACGATTCAAATGTTGAAGTGAACAAAATGGCGGCTGTTTGAAATCGAATTTTGGATCACGACATGGGACAGAATATCGATGTTGCACTCTGGGAGCAAATCCTCATTGGACAGGTAGTAAATGGGAAAGGACCAACTCATACATTACAAACGAAAACACAAAATTTAAATGGATGGAAAAAGAATATGGGTAGCGTGTATTTATAATAGGTAGAAACCTACACTTTCTCACACCATCATTCACAGTACATAACTATTCACAATGATTGACCAAGAGTTCGTTATACAGTAAGTATCAAAAAACGCAACAGATTGTTATCTCGAACATGTACTAAACCAGTAATAACAGCATAAAGCCATGTGTCTCCTCTTTCCACTAGTATACCATTCGTTGATATTGGGTCATGGATGGGCGAATAATCCTTCCTTTTGCAAAGTGGGACAAAATTAGCTTGGGACCAATGTATAAACATCGCGAAAGTCAGTGCACGGGGCTCAATGAAATATTGGACTAAAACATAAAACCAATGATGACTGCATCATTTTCATTCAATGTACCAAAAAGCCAAATTACTCCTCTTTGCAATGGAATGTCATTCATTCACAGGGAGTCCTGGCTGGCCGAATAATCAGTACTTCGCAAAGTGGGTCAAAATGTAGCTCAAACCCAAGTTTTAAACAGTGCATGGGGCATAGGGGATATTGGAAGAAGGTGTGGCAGGTGTGACATAGACTGTAAAGTATTTATACTAATAATTTTGCAAGAATACATCCTATACCCCTCCAAATTGGAATCGAAGTTTTGCAATATCTGATGGAGGAATGGTGAGCACAGATGCTCCCGAGAGAGCCCTAAAAGAAAAAGTCACAACAATTCAAGTCAGGAGAACTTCCATTTGCACTTAGCCCTTGCACTGGTTTTTGCAATATCTGAAACCTGGTCCAGAGCCGATCTTGACTGTGTAAATAGAAGGATTTCTCACCCAACCATGACCACACATGAATGAATGACATATCATTGCAAAGGGAAGGGACGTGGCTTTATGGTACATTGAATGAAATCGATGTAGTCATTACTAGTTTTGTGATTTTTGCGTTTTTATACGCCCTGTATGACATCACAAGGTCAACGTACTACAGTAGAAGTCAGCATAAAAGTGACAGTGCCTTAGACTTTTGGCAATCAACCGAAGATACCTCAAGAAAAGCCGGAGATTGCCGAAGATTGCCGAAGCTTTTCTCCAGCCAGACATTCATGAACACATTCCAAAAGCTGTCTGAGCTCAGAAAGAAAGAAGTGTGAAATTCTGTTAGCAATTCCTTTGCAAAGCAACGATCGTATCAAAAATTGGCGCTCTGTATCGTGATAAAAGTTTCAACTTCAAACTCGTCATAATTGTTTGGACTGGCAGGCCATACTTAAGAAAAATTTGTACGACATTTATGTTCATTATTATAACAAACGGGTTCTAACGTTCTTTTCAATTAACAATTGAATCAAATCTACATAAAACTGCTGTTGAACAAGTTAATTGTTTTTTACCATTGCAATGTAAGAGGTTCGATCTGTTTTCTTCAAATATTATATATAATATGACTGGTTAAACTTGACACGGCACCTCTAATAAACACATTTGTTTCTTTACTCGTGCTCTATTCCTCCATGGTCCATGTCATGGGCACAAGCTAGGTTCCCGAATAGCCCCATAAAATCGGGCTTAAAATTAAGACCAACGTGTTGTTTTTGTGTAGTTTTAGTCAAATTTAGGCGAGGCTAACACGTCTAAATTAATATTTGAAACGTATTCAGATATTCATGTAAAAGTAAGCAATATTGATTGACTTAAAGAGCAGATTTTATTTGTTTCTTCGTTCGGAACTTAGCTTTTGAACCATTGATTTATGCCATGACTTCTTCATCTCGATTAGAACAATGGGTGTTAGTTCATACGGAAAATGTTAATAGAGGCAATGGCGTTATCATGCAAATGCGCCAACTATCTTTTTCCTTTGACTTTCACTGAATCAATCACACATAACCAAAATGTGACAAGTTTCAATAGGAACTGCAGCGCCTCATAGGAAATGCTGCTGTTTTATTATGTATCTTTGAATGCTAATGCGAATGTTGACGAACAGTCCTCACTTATTCGCTTTTAATCTATCCATAAATTGCTTGCAAAAGTGATTGAATTGTAAACTAGCAATTACAGTGTTCATGTCAGAGACAAACACTTGAAATTTACCAGTTCATAAATATCTATTCGAAATTTAAAGATATCAATAATTTACGTTTGGGTTTAAGTGTATTGTTTTGCTTGTCACGAATTTTGAGAAAGTAGAATTATATCTAAATACACATACATCAATTTGAAATTGTTTTATAAATAGAGCTCTTTCTGCCGGGACTATAGCTAGGACTGAATCCCTTGAGATGACTATTAATGTTTCTAAGATTTTATTGTCGGCATTGCACTAACTTATATTTACTACTAGCGGTGCAGTAGGCTAGATAGAGGGTTAATTGAATTCCGAAAACATTAAGAGTAGGGACATCGATGGAAAATGAAGTTTTGACAACTCTCGCTCTCATTTCAGATCCTTAGAGATTTCTCTCCATTAAACGATGAAGTCGAGTGTGGCTAATGAGTGTCAGTATATATCCTTAAATCAGCTCAAGCTCCATTTGTTTCTAATTTAAACCACCAATAACATGTCACAAGTAAATTTGATTGACGAACTCATACTATAAATTTTACTCATTGTAAAAGTGCCTTTCACTTAAAATATGATCTTACAGTAATTCAATGTACACTGCATATCCCGTAAATGAATTTTGAAACGTTGAAGTAATATTTCGCTTTATTGATACTATAAATATTACTCTATGATTTAGATGGACCTTACATCTACTCCTGTGCAGTGCTATCGTATTGAGATCGCCTAATTACGACGGAACTGTGCAGAGTACGCCTCTCCCAAAACGGCTCCAGATACTACCGTATAGAGCGATTTGTGAAATGAACAAGAAATGTCTTTAACTGAGAAAAGTAATTACATGGCAGATGTATACTCCCCTCCATCATATTTTGGCATTCATTTTTATTTATAATTCAATTCAATTTATTTAAGCAAACAAACCATACAACAATATATCATACATAACATAAAAAGATGCATTTCATGGATCATAACTGAAGAACCAAATTAAGATTCAAACATAAAAGACAGGCTGAAACAACCCATTAAATGAGAGTATTCGAATTTCACACTTGTAGATTGGCTCTGCATCTTGGCTCTGCATCTTTGGGCACATCGTCAATATTGATGGGCATTGAAAACAAATGTCCACAATTGAACATGTTGACGTTTGCAATATACAGGGTGGCACAAACAAATGTCACTCACTAATTTTGGAATAACATTCTTAATAATGAAAGAATCTTCATGAGTTTTTATATGCATAGAGTGTGCAATGGAAGAAAGATTACACTGCTTGCATAGCATCAACAAAATTTGAGATATCTGCATTAATTTTCTGCGGAGATCTAGACATGCTCTGACAAAAATCACTCAAACATGTGAATTCTTTTTTAAAATTTACCTAATAAGCGACCCAATTCATCTTTGGCAATACTATTTTTTTAAATGGGTAGACATGACATATTAATGGTAATATATGTGAAAGTAATCCAGAATTGACTCAAATGATGCCTAAAACAGAAATCCCAATTTCAGAAAATTGTATGTGTGGCCCCAAAATTAATTTTCATGAATTCGAATTGGATGTGTGACAAATGCAACATTTTCGAACAAAAAGTTGTTCATCACACATGTCTTATGTCATATGTCATATCTTAATCATGAGGTAAAACTATAATACAAGTCTCAATAGTCTCAGCTCTATAGGGGTCTTTAAGAGAAATTGAAACCACGAATATAACTGCATCATAAAAAGGAATTAACTAGCAATTCTAAACTTTTCGCAAGTTTCTGTTAATGACCCCGTGAATAGGTATAAGATATCAAAAGATTGACTTCAATTTTTAAAGACGATTCAACTCTTTGAATGACACGTACTGTGAGATAACGTATACAATTTCACTATTTATACAGGGCGTCCACAAAAAAGTGTACCCAACTTCAAATCCAAATTACTAGACTCCTGAGCAGTTTTGATAAAATACAAAGGTAGTAGTAAAAAGCGTGATTTATTTTCCATCAAATGGTACCAAGATCATTATGTAACTGTCATGTATGACTGAGCAATCTTGACCATTATGAGAGGTAGTAAAATTAGCACCACGCCTGTGTGGCAATTAATGTGTAATTGGCTTAGTATTCTTTTTTTCTGTTACATTAAGTTAGAGGACAGGCCTTCCATACTGAACTGGACTTGGGACAGAGTAACTCTCTTATGAAACAAATGCAAAAAGCTTAACTTACTCTAAAATAGACCTGCAAAAATGGTTCAACTGACACCTGAGCAGTAGAGCAAACAAAAAGTTCTAGAAAGCAAGTCTCATGAACTGTGTATAGAACCCCTATTCTTACTATCGAAATTGATTCTAACAATACTGTCCCACATGAATCTACTTGTTTAGACTTAATAAACTCGAGTTCTTCTGAAAAAATGAGGATTTCAGCAAGAGTTTT